ACTTGAATCTACGGATTCTATTATTTAATTTATTAGAATATTAATTCAATTAAATAATAGATATTGTCATACATATGCATTGATTATATATATATTCAAAGTGTTTATGTCCAAAGTTGATTGGACCTAGGGCATAACACTTACATTGGACAACACTCGTACGAAAACTCATCATTTTCACTAGTTGGAATGGAAGAAGCAAACAGAGGGACCAATGAGGTTCATGTTCTTAAGTTGAAGGACTATACTAGTACAATGTTAAAGTTTAGGGACCTTTTGTGCCCAATGTATATAGTTTAGAGACCAACTATGTTTTTAAAATTTTGGGTTGGATGAAATTAACGGTCATGTAAGCAATTCTATACGCAGACCCATCATTTTCATTGCGAGGAGATGTAGGGACTAATGCGGTACAATTTTAATTTTAGAAACTTCTTTCAAACAAGGTGTAAAGTAGGGAACCATTCAGGTTTTTTACCCTTTAACCTTCTTCCTTGGATTGAACTTCATTAAATTTGACCACACGTTCAACTATCTCAACTACAGGTTGCCTAATGAGCACATGTTAAATAAATCATTTATTGTCCACACTTAAATGCTATGAAAATACAATGTAGGGTGGCAATGGGCTCGAGCCACCTATCTACTCAACAAGCGACTTGTGAAAGCTTGGCCCATAGGATGCGCAACTTTTTCTACCACAAGTACATGGGCTAAGCTAAGCTCGAATTTTGGCCAAGCAAGTCAAGATCGACAATTAAAGCCTACAGATTTCACGAGCTTGCCTATTTTACTAATTAAATTACATTCGATCTTCTTATTTTTATCTCATTATAAATTTTTTTCCTATGTTTTTCTTTAAATTCTCTTTTTAAAAAATGGGTGTGATGACCTAACTATAATTTGCTTTGTTGCTCAGGCATCTCATGATGTAGTGGGTTAGTGGTGTAGGAGGCTGATTTGATCCAACAAAATTCCAAATCAAATCATTTCAAACGATTTGACAAAACTCGAACCTAAACCAAACTATTTGAAAAAAGGTTAGTGACAAAGTTTATTTTCTCACACTTGGAGAAAAGGACATTTACAGATTGGTCAACGAATACTACTAGATATAAAGAGAGGACCTTGAAGACTTTATTCCCTTGAAATTTAGGGGCTGGAGAATTATTAGGAATTATATGGCTAGACAAATGGAGATGGCCTAATTTGAGATTGAAGTAGAGTTAATTTTCTCAGTATTTTCTATAGATTCTTTTGTATATTTTCTTGTACATTGCTTAGATCTTCTATTCGAGGATGTAAACTATTTGGAGATAAGCTCTTCATGCTCCTCTATACGTACATGTTTTCAATATCTATAAAATTAGGCAGAGGACAGCGCCGCACCTCCCAAGTCAAAAACGTAAAAACTTAATTGCTTGACATTCGGGCCTCAACTCACATCAATAGAGACCAAATAAATTTAATAGAAAAACCATTTTCGATTAGGGTCAACTTGACCTCTTCCGAGACCACAAAATCTTGCCAGAACGTCACATCTATGTCATTAATGGTTGTGTTCATTGTGTATGTCCAATAAAAAAAATGCTACTTGTACGTGGGAAAATTTACAAAATGGTGTACAGGTGCTCACGTGACAGGGAGTGATTGATTGGTTTAACTTTGTGTTTTGTCCAAAATGCAATGAAATTGCGCCACCTGGAAACCAGTATGTAATTTTCCCTATACATGTAGCATCAATAGTCTAATAATTCATTGTTCTACAATGCCAGCAAAAAGTGAAGACACGTAATAATTCCATCATTCATCGGATACCAAACACATTAACCTAGAACCCAAAAGGCGATAAAAGATTGTAAGAGAAGATACAAGTCAAAAAGGAATATACAAGAAGCATTGCTATTTTCTTTTCTAACAATGTATCTAAACAACATCCAAAGTAGAAGACAAAATACATGTTACTGGCCATGCTGAACCAATTAATTTGAGGTTCAAAGGTATAAAATTAACCTTGAACCAACCTAGCCTATTATGAACAAATGCATGTGATCAGGTGCTCTCTGCCTTCAGAGAAACAATCGTCTGATCCTGTCCTTGGCACTGTAGGTGAAGACAAAGATCATTCGACTACTCGAATAAATAGCAACTAGTCGAGATTAAATGGAAAAGGAATCAAACGTCGACACTTTAAAATGTTTCGATATCTTGTTAGTCTGCAGGAAGAACTTGTGTATGTTTTCTGACACGAATTCTATTCGGAGATAGCATTTTGCACCCTGTTGGCAGTTATGGTTGAATCTGGAATGCCACAAAATTCAATAAGTTTACTAGCCTAAATCTCTTTCAATAATTAATTTTGTAACTAGAATCAGTAAAATGTACAACCTGTGCTGGTTGTTGCCATAGCCACTGAAGAAGGAACTAGTACAGGAGTGGATATAAATGGATACTGTAACATTTGAGGATAATGAACTCCAAAACCGGACCCTTGGCCGCTTTGGGAATATTGATCGTACGTCGAATAAAAATTAGGGTACATCCAATGCGGTCCACCATATACACCGTAATAGTTCTGGGCACAATGTCATCAAAAATTTAGCCGGATAGTCGAAAACAGTCATGAATTTACCTAATAAACAAGAAATTAAAAGGAAAAACTAACCATGTTGTTGTACATAGCATCTTGAGAGTAGTATCCAGTGTACCTATTTCATTATAAATGCAAAGGTTATATAGAGATCAAGAAGTATCAGGCCCGTTATCCTGCCACATAACCATAAGTAAAGTTCTCTTGCTACATCAGTAGTGAGAAGTTTTTATCCTGTCCTTAGTGGGCAGAAGATCAATTTCACAATAAGGATAGCTACGAAATATTTAAGTACCCATAGGCCGAATAAGGATGAGGAGCGGAATGATGGAAATAAGTCGACGAAGAGCCTTGAAAAAAGGGTCGCGTCATGAATCCAGGTGTTGCTCTAAGTCTACCCATCCCTGCAAAATCGAAGACAGATAAAGGATTGGAAATAACATAAAATGCATATCGGTCAAGAGCTCTACGAGTTCTAAGGGAGAAACTAGGACCATGATGCGGAACCGGGGGACGATTCTTGTTGGCACCAAGTGATGCAAGATTGCAGTTTGCTGTCCTTCCATCAATTACAGGAGAAGGGTTGTGACAAGCCCTCATGGCTGAATCTGGATCCTTAAATGTAACCTACACAAACACGGTTACACACCAAATGCTTATGAATCTTGAAATAATTATCGAAAAACTAAGTTAAAATGGTTTCTTACAAAACCGTAGCCTTTAGATCTTCCAGTATTTTTATCAGTAATAACAACAGCTTCGAGAATCTCTCCAAACTGCTCAAAGTAAAGTCTCATTGTATCTCTTTGAGTTTTCCAAGCCAACCCACCAACAAAGATTTTGGTATAGGTGGAGTCACCGAACTGTACATTGTTTCGAAGTGGCCTTGTTTGCGACATGTCGATGCAAAACCCAGAAACTGTAAAGTGATTTGAATATGAGAAAGAACAAAATCGAGTCAATCTAATGCTATACTATGTTGGTGATATAATGGGAGGTTCTGTCAAAGAAAAATGCCTCAGATTCTTCTGAATAAGGATACCATTAACGAGAAAATCATCATTACTGTTTGAGGTGGAAAGTTTTAAAGAGGGGAAAAAGGTATATATCCCCAAACTGAAACTGACATTTATTTGATACAAATAAAGGCGGAAGAGACGACAAAAAGCTGGACACCCACGACAAGAATAGCACGAACATTGTAGAAGGAAATTTCTTTTAATCAGCACTGATTTTCCAACTGGAAAAATGATGAACAAAGTGCAATACATATTTATCCCTTTTCCAAAGAAATTCATTTTTCGTTGCACTTATTTTCAATCGAGCATTCTTTTAATAAAATAATTTTGCGCGTAAATTAAAAAACATCATATTTTTTGACCACACATCCTCTGAAAAACCATTATTTCAAAACTAATTTTTAACAAAAAATTGAGCTCAAACAGGTATAGCCCTTGTTTGATACTCATTTTTCTCGAAATATATTTTTCTTTCTCTTTTTTTTCAACTGCACATTCTTTAATAAAATAATATTACACTCAAATCCAAAAAATTTTCCTTATTTTTTAACTGTCCATTGTCCATTAGTTTATTATTCTAAAATGCATTTTTATTGTAACAATGGCAAACATGCTCTTAATTAATTGAATAGGACATGACTGAAATTATCAAAAAAATGTCAACTATCGCGTGACAAAAGTTGCTTTGTTGACCGTTAACAGTAATACCCAATATTGTAACATGACTATTTAAAGATGAAAGTGGTGTATGGAAGTTTTAAATTACTTAATTAAATTTTATTTAATTTTAACATAATATGTTGATTATCCCTATTTTAAATTACTTTATTTCACAATTTATCGGTATTTAAATTTATTAACATAAGATTTTGCCTATAAATTAAATTATTTAAACAAATAAATCAGAGTAGAAGATTTCTTCGGATAAATTTATTTGGGATGAAATTTCTTTGAAAAAATTGGGACTCCTACCTATATATGGGGTCTCGACTCTCAGGCAATCGCCTAGCTTGCCTAGAGGTTGCTGCCAATTAAATAATTTCATAAGATATGGATTTATTAAATTCGATACTAAATTGAAGTTAATGATATAAATTGAAACTTAATGATCCAATCAAAATAAATTAAAATTTAATATTTTGATTAAAGATTTTTTTAATTGTTTAGTGGGCACATAATGTCAATTTGTTGTACTTGTATGATTCGATTCTTCCATTTTTCTTTTCTTAATCGAAAATCTACAGGCCAACTATGTTATATCTGTGGGCCAAAAAATAGTGTCTGGTAACATTAATTTATGCTAAAATATAAGTGGTTCTCACTTCTCATGGTCTGTCGTATGTGCAACCTACCTAAAATATAAAGAAAAATATTACAGTAATTGATTCAGTGGTCCACATGCCACACACTTAGGAAGAGTACGACTCGCTTATATTTTAATTAGTAGAGTTAAGTAGCACTGTTCTAGATGTAAGAATTCATTGTCACCTAAAATAGTACTCACCATTAGTGATTCTATATAGCTTTCCAAAATTAAATTGAATATTCGAATTTAAGGGCAATGTAAACTGAGAAAGTGACGTGGAATGATTAGAGGAGAAAATCCTAAATCAGTTGTAAAAAAGGAGGAAAAAATCTACGAAAGCACGCATAACTTTTAGATTGAGTGTCAGATTCAACTTCCAAAATAAGATTGAAAGTTTGTTAATTTAAAAATCAAAAGTTTTTTTTAATAAATTATTTAAAAAACATAAACCATAATTAATTCTACTTTCTTACCTCTCTCTACATTTCTCCACTCACTCACTCTCTCTCTTCAAACCCTCATCTCTCATTCTTGTCACCACCACAATCTCTCTCTCTCTACCTTCGTTCCCTCTCTCTCTCTCTCCTCCACTACAGTGGCATCGCCATAGCGGAGATCAACAGTTGGGTGCGCGGCGATAGGTGCGGTGATCGCTACAGCGACGATCGACAACCAAATCCACTACCTTCGTTCTCTCTCTCTCTCTCCCTCCACTACAGTAGTGATCGACAGCGGCGTGCGGCGATGGGTGCGGCTATAACGGTGTTAGGTGCGGTGATGGGTGTGGTGTTAAGTGTGGTGATGGCGGCA